CACACTTACATGATTTTAAGTTGAGCAGCCATTACTGCATCCCACTTGCTTGTATAAATAAAGGTATTCAAGCTGCCTACCATAAATGTTGTATGGCGATATTTGCAGCTGTCATTGTCCTTTTTTAATATATATATAGATGTCCCTGCTCTTTTAGCCAATTTATACCATGGCTTTCAAGACACAAATACTGGATAGTGACAGGTTCTTATTGGACATCTTGACAATTGAGGTCCAATTTCCCCCTGGAAATTTTCTCTCCTTCCATCTCTCAGTGAAGGATGAAGCACAGTCAGGTTCCTCTATCCTATCGCTAGCTACATGCAGAGATCTATACATAAAACTGTGGACCACAATTTATTCTTTTTAGTGTGGATTTTACTTAAGTCATCTTTCATTCATAATAAGATTCGCTATTGATGACAGTAATGTACGCAATCCCATACTTTGACACATTCTGGATCAAACCGCCACAGTAAGAAACATGTTGTGCATGTTCCTACATAAGCAGCACTATACTACTATACTGAAAACACTGCAAAAAGTAGTGGAATAGTTTTGGGTAAAAGTGTTGTTTGTCATCAAATCTGGAAAAACAAGTGGAGTTGTCTGCTACTAAGCTGCCATTTTGGCCGACATAGGGCTAGGTTTATCCAGTCAAGATTATGCCAGTGTCCAGAAGTAACATGTATTATGCAGACTGTGCCTAGTGGGCAGGACAGCATAGAACAAGTCAGGTTTGTCAAATACAAAAGGCAGTTTCCTAAATATATGGAATGTACATGCATCTACCCTCTGTATCCACAGATTCAACCATCCAGAAGTTAAAATTATTCCCTCCAAAAAGCAAACCTTGATTTTGCCGTCTCCCTATATAAAAGTAAAAAATCTGTATTTTTATCTGTGTCACAAAGACTGTTTCTGGGTGAATAACTGGCTCCATGTGATGTCATTGGGTTTTGTGTGAAGGGAATGAGGGATGATAGCGGGGAGGGGGGGTGGGTAGCGCCTCCTCAACACCCAGTCAATGCCAAGTATATATGCTAGTTTTATAAAAGAAACACCATTTGATTAACACCACTTTATATACAATGAGATTTGAGTGTTCTCACATGGTGATCCTGGAACCAAACCAGAGTGGATTCTAAGGGTCCTCTGTGCACTCCATATGTATATATCGTAATACATATCTTTGAAGTTATGCTGTTAAGACCAAAATGGTTATGGAAATCACAGAAATTGCTACCCACAGATCTCTTTTGAACACTTATTATCACAATCCACAGATTGTGGATTGTGATAACAAGTGCGTTTTATGCATGTACATAGGTAGGATGAAAGTAATATTCTCTAGCCCTTTGCACCACCATCCTTAACCTCCCTACCCAGTAGCTATCAAGCTCCAGGATGACAAGTGGCGGAAGTTTCTGCTGTTACTTTTTCCTGTTAGGAAGGGGAAAGAAGGGATGGGCATTTACAATAGTTCTGGCTTCTCGGGGCTCCAAAAGGAAGGGGAAAAGGGGTCACTCCAACAGGTAGCACCATATTGCTTCTCTTCCCCCATCCTCTTTCACTAGTTTTGTTCTGCTCTTTCTTCATGACCTGACTTGTCTCCTTGCTCCATCTCCCCATCATTGATAACCACTGGCATCACTGCCCAGGGCTTGATAGCTTTCTGGGGCAGGCAGAGGACACAGCATGTGCTGGAGGAGTGTTACGCTCTGCCAACTTGATGTAGGAGCTTGGCCAGTGTGTGTTTTCCTACCAAATAGCCTGCAGTGATATGGAGCAGCGAGTGGAGACTTGCAGAATGAGGGCACAATCTCGTGGAGAGATGGGACAACTAGGGACAGTTAGGAAGCTTTCTTTGACAACCTCATGGCTCCTATGACAATTCTTTCCTAAATTACTATCCCGAGCTAATAAACTACTGAATTTCTTTGGATGTGTATGGGAGCTTTCTATAGTTTCCCAATGACTTACAGGGCTGGCATCTTGCCATCCAGCTGCAGAGGAGAATGTCATGGTACATCGGCCAAACTAATTCCAGTAAAGAAACAGGGCTTCCAAGACTGCATTTATACTAGATTGGGCTGTTGGTACATGTAATTTGATATGTAAGCCTGGTACGTGTCCACCACTGCTTGAGGATTCTCTCTAAGCATGTCAACTCTGTTGTGTTGCAGTGTTAACCCATGAGAATGTGATGAAGAAAGGAATATGGCCAAAATGTGCTATCTGCGAGGATCCTAAGGCTTATTTTAAAGGCTGCATCAATACCAAGCCACCCTAGGACCCTTTTTTAGTTACAGACTAGCAATCATGTTCCATAATTAGTCTGTCATCAAGCTCTTTCCGCTGTCATTAACCTGTTTATAAAACTGCTCCTATTTCAACAGAAAGCAAATTGGCAACTGTTGAGTTGCAAGCTGCTGCAGAATATTTTTTTGATTTTAGAGATTGTTTGGCATTGTATTACTCATATCCTGCTGTCAGACTGATGACTGGATCCTGCCTGATTGCACCTTATGAAGGAGAACCAGGGTGGAACCATGAGGTCTTGACATTGTATTTCTTTGAGGGCCTGTATTTCAGGCATTTTATTGGCACAGCCCCTCCATATAAGACAGGAACACCCTAGCCTAGTGTACATCAAAAGACAGATCCATAAATAACTATTGGCTATTGAAACAAAGAAACATTGAAGTATATATGTGTGTATATGTGTGTGTGGATAGGGTAGGTTGCACAGTTAAAGCTTGTGTGCCAGATGCGACCGTACCTCGAGAAGTCATACTCTGCCATGGTGATCCATGCCTTGGTCACATCCAGATTGGATTATTGCAATGCACTCTATGTGGGGCTGCCTTTGAAGACAGCTTAGAAACTGCAGTTGGTACAAAGGTCTGTAGCCAGGCTTCTAACTGGAGCTAATTATAGGGAATGTACAACATCCCTATTAAAGCAGCTCCACTGGCTGCTAATAAATTTCTGGTCCCAATTCAAGGTGCAGGTTATGACCTACAAAGCCCTAAATGATTCGGGTCCTGCCTATCTTCATGATCTAATATTTGCTTCTACCACCATTACCAGGGTGGCTGGTAAGGGTGAGGGTGAGGGCCTTCTTGGTGGTGGCCCTCAACTTTTAAACTCCCTCCCCAGGGAGATTAGGCAGGCGCCCACACTGTCCTCTTTCCAGTGGGACTTGAAAACGTGGGTGTTCCAGCAAGTTTTTGAGAATTAGTTCCTAGGCCCAGTTCCCAGGTAATCGGATAGTACTCTGAACTGCACTTCATCTACTTCCCTGGCCCTATGGTTTGCTGTTTGCACTATCCCATGCCCAGCCCTTTTATAGTTGGCCCACATCCATTTAGTAATCCTGGTCCTTGGTTTTGTTGAACCTCTACTGATGGAGCTACAATGGAATTAGTTTCTATTATGTTATCTTTAATGTGTTTTAGTATATATATTTTAATTTTATGATGCTTTTGGTTGGTATTTTGTCTGTTAGTTTAACTAGGTTGTGCTATATTGTCAAATGTGTTTATTTGGATGTAATTGTTTGTATTGTTTATCTCCGGCAAATAAATGTTTGCCTTCCATGTTGGAAACAGCCCTGAGTCCCTCTGGGGAGATAGGGTGGTATACAAATAAAGTTGTTTGTTTTTTGTTTTGTTTTTTTGTCGTGTCAGGAGCGACTTGAGAGACGGCAAGTCGCTTCTGGTGTGAGAGAATTGGCCGTCTGCAAGGACGTTGCCCAGGGGATGCCTGGATGTTTTTGATGTCTTACCACCCTTGTGGGTGGCTTCTCTCATGTCCCCATATGGAGAGCTGGAGCTGATAGAGGGAGCTTATCCGTGCTCTCCCTGGATTCGAACCTGCGACCTGTCAGTCTTTGGTCCTGCCAGTACAGGGGTTTAACCCACTGCACCACCGGGGGCTCCTACAAATAAAGTGGTGGTGGTGGTGATGACGATGATGTTGTTGTTGTTGAATGATGATGATGATTATTATTATTATTATTATTAGGGGGTGAAGCAGTATGAAAGGAGTGAACTCATTTCCAGTAGTGAAAAAATATCCTGGGTTAACATACTTAGAAGCACTATCTACCTTAAATTTGAGTGTATGCCTGCCTCTCTTTGCACCTCGCGTTGACTGCATGGGGTGGGGTGAGGGATCCTGGAGTTCTAGTTAACAAATCAACAATGAGAAAGAACATTGCATATACTTGTAATGTGCCCATTCCTCCTCGAGCCCTACAATACAATAAAACAGGCTTGTGTTGCTCTTTCCTTTGCACCTACTTTCTCCCCAAAAAGGGGGAAAAAACTTTTCATTTATTAATGTAGTGGTTCTCAACCTGTGAGTCCCCAGGTGTTTTGGCCTACAACTCCCAGAAATCCCAGCCAGTTTACCAGCTGTTAGGATTTCTGGGAGTTGAAGGCCAAAATATCTGGAGACCCCAGGTTGAGGACCACTGTATTCATGCATGAAGCAAATCAGATCCCAACTTCAGAGCAACTACAGGGCAAGCAACACCAGATCCTGTCTTTACCATCCATCTATTTGGTAGGAGACTCTATAAATATATTTATTCAGACCAAATAATTTTGCTTTCTAAACAGTTGCGATGTATATAATTTGATTTATTTGGATTTGGTGTAGAAGTACTGCTGTGATACTATGCAATCATCTGGTGCAGTTTGGCCTAATTTGCCTCTGCTTAGTGATTTGGGATGTCTGTCAAGGGCTGTTAACGGGAGACATAGTGAGTTAAAAGCTAATGCGGTGACCTCATCTCTATTCATTGAGCTCTGCACTAGAGAGGGATGGTTGAAATTGTATCAGTCTATTTAATGCTGCCAGTTAATCTGCTTTAATTTGGATACTAAATCCATATGGCAATTTTGAGTATAAACGGGGAAAGTATATGCAGCAAAACTCAGTACGGCTTGTATGGTTTGTTGCCTCTGCTCGGGGCGTTTCTCATTTTTGTCGACATACAACCCTGTTATTCATTCATCCTTTTGGGTTGCCTCTGAAGTGATTTCCCTGTGTGAAAATTGGCAGGGCACCCAGGTACTTTATTAGCCAACGTTCCCCATAAGAACGCACACATTGGCAATCTCTCACTTTGCTCAAGCAGTTCCTCTTGCTACTTCAAGCGACCGTTAAACAGGAGCACCGGGCTGGCTCTTTAATATGAGAGCTGTGCTCATCTACAATAGGTGTCACTGTGCTGCTGCCGGTCCAATCGTTCTTTGTGACTTCAGCGATTGGCTCAGAGCGCAGCTTGTCTGATTCCCATCTGCGAGGCTCGAACACCTCTTGTGCTCCGACCCATTCTGCACACAACTTGAGCCAGCCGGCAAACAGGCAGCCTTGCCACGCATCCTGCTCTCAAGCTCTTTGCTTTGCCACGGCAGAGAGAGCGGCTTCAGGTGATTCAGCCTGCAGCCGTTTGGGGAAAGCAAATGAAACAGAGAAGCAAGATGGGGAGGAGTTTAACCAACGAAGTCCTGGATCAAACTTAAAAAGCCAACATCTTATCCAGCACATCAGAGGGGGGGAAAGGGTCACCTTGCCCTGCTAGAAAAGAAGCCCAACCTCAGTTTTGTTGCTGCCTTGCTCAGCACCCCCTGCTCTCCCTGTTTACCTAGTTAAGCTATCTGATTGCACAGAGAAGGCTACTCATGGTAGATGACAAGGGAAAGAACATGAAATGTCTCACCTTCTTCTTGATGCTTCCAGAGACAGTTAAGAACAGATCTAAGAAAAGCTCCAAGAAGGTAAACAGCAGCAGCAGTAGCAATAGCAGCCTTGGTGGCAGCAGCAGTGGAAGCAAATTACCTCCAGTTTGCTATGAAATCATCACCTTGAAGACTAAAAAGAAGAAGAAGATGGCTGCTGATATTTTCCCCCGAAAGAAGCCGGCTAACAGTAACACAGCGGCCGTCCAGCAATATCACCAGCAAAACATCAATAACAACAATATTATCCCAGCTCCTAACTGGCAGGGGCTGTACCCCACCATCCGGGAAAGGTAAGGAAGTTGTGTTTTCTCTGTCGCATTTGTGAGTTCACCAGCCATGTGCAGCAAAATGTTTCTCTTGCTTACTGTAGCATCTTTTCTCATGCCTGGACGTTGAGAGGAAGGAGCTGTTTCCCCTTTTCAACAGTGCAGTTGTTTGAGGAAGTGAAAAACTCTGCGTAGAAGCTGGCTTTTAACTATTTGCAGTCCCAAAATCACATCCTTGGTATATTATTTTAATTTGTTCAACCTGAATTTGGTATTTTTTTTTACTTTACAAAAGTTCTCCCCAAGTTTTTCTCGAGTATTCCTTCAAATGCATGTGCCAGCATTGCTGTAAATGTTTACCTAAGAGTAAGCCCCATTCAATGCAGTGGGGTTTCTTTTGAATAGATAATATATAGGTCTTCACTGCTAGTAATTTAAAATTAAGCCTGTGATTTTGTTTTCTTGGTGCTGTTGAAACAGTACAAAGTGTTGCGGAGCTGAATTACAGGGAACATGCCACTAAAACCTCTAATTAACCCATTGCCTCTGTTTGTAGAAATGCAGTGATGTTCAACAATGACTTGATGGCAGATGTTCATTTTGTGGTTGGGCCACCAGGTGGGACCCAGAGGCTGCCAGGACACAAAGTAAGCGACAGCTGCAGATTTGACATGGGAAAAGAGAGGGGAACATGTATTATAACTTAATGTGGGAGATCTGGATTCTGGAACTGACACAGTTATAGAAGCTTTTAGCATGCATGACCAGTGAAGCCTTTTTAGCAAATTGTCCTCTAGTCAGAGAGACTGTTATTGTGATATATTCTTATCCCTTCAAATGTATTGTTCTATTGATTCATGGCACTATCTTGTCCTTCCTCTAACTTGCTCAGAAATCCCTCCTTCCTTTAAGTTCTTACAACAACCTTATGAAGTAGGCCAAGACAGTGACTTACCTACTGAATTTCCTATTGTATCTTAAACATCAGAGTACATTGACAATCTGTGCAAATAGATCTGTATTAACAGTATATTTTAGATTTGTGAAGAATTTTTAGGGGGAAGAAAAGCTTTGCCATTTTCTTTTGTAAAAAAAGGAGAGTAAAATGTAAAAACATGCTGTATTTTCTGGTTTCTCATTTTTGCCTTCATGGCCTCATTTTTAATGCTCACGCTCTTAACACTAGCAATTCTGTTCTCTTTTGGCAATTGATTTTGTTCTAAAGCATGAAATAACATTTCCCTTTTGAACAGTATGTCTTAGCCGTGGGAAGCTCTGTATTCCATGCAATGTTTTATGGAGAGCTTGCGGAGGACAAAGATGAAATCCGTATCCCAGATGTGGAACCTGCTGCTTTCCTCGCTATGCTGAAGTAAGCATCCTTCTTCAATGCTGGAGATGTATTATTTCTCTCTCTCTCTTTCTCTGCCATAGTAGTGTCAGACTTTTAAACTTGGGCAGTATTATAAATCAAAGCACAGAAACTGATTGCTCAGAGATATGTTTTAATTATTTCAAATATTGCATTTGCATCTTTTTCTCCCCCTCTAGTTGCTTGCATATTAAGTTAACATCTCCTGGTATCAACTTTGAGAAAACTAATTATTAATACATTATAGGAAGCATAGGAGTAGATTAAGGAGGAGCTAGAAAACTTGGTGACAAGGAAGGGTTCCATATTGTTGGTTTACTAATTGTGCATTTGTGTTGCCCCTTTCTGTTAATATATATTCAACTCTCTGTTTTCTTTGACACAGTTATTACTGAAGCTGTAAGCTTGTCAAGTGTGGCCACTGGTGTCATCTTTTTGTATAGACTTAGTACATTTTAAACTATTAAAATAATAATTTCTGTAAATGCTGAAATTGCCCACTGGAACAGAAGAGAACATGGGCAATATTTTTGCCTGATCCGTCATTCCATCTGGTTCTCTCCTCTCACATAGTGAGTGGGATGCAAGGAAAAACAAGTTGCCAACGGTTCTGTCCATAGCTCAGGATCTAAACTGGAAAGTACCTGGAGTACATTTCTAATTTTTTAAGCTTAAAGATGTATTGGTTGCTTCTGTGAGTCAATTACTCTTTCTTGATATATGCTCATATTTATTAAGAAGTATTTCAGCATGCCACTGGAATATTTTTCTCTCTGCTTTGGATAGTTCAGGAGTGGGCACCAAAAGATCCCATTAGATGCTATTAGACTGTCACTCCCTACATTTTTCAGCATTGCCTGAGTCATCTAGGGCTCATAGGATTTGTAGTCAAAGAATATCTTGCAAGTAGGCCTGTGATTCTCATTCCTTGTGTAGTGTTTTGATTTGGTTGTTTCAGATGGCAATCAGGTGCTGTGTGACTCTCCTGTTAGATGATGAATGCTGCTAGTAGCTTCAGTTGGTGCACAAATGTGAGAAGATCACCTAAGGTTTTAGTAGCAACAAGTTGATGACACATAATATCCCAAGAAAATATGTTGCTCATGGCTAAATGTGTCAGAGATTTCAAGCAAATATTTATTTATTTAAATATCTTGGCATTTAAATATAGGTGTTCATTCCTGATGAAAATAGGATTTTGTCAGCAAGATGCTCTTCAGACGATAACACCAGCAGTGCCTTAACAAGACAAGCGGTCTTCAGTTAAATCTTTAGATGTATTGTCATTATACTCTCAGAAAAATTGATTTGCTACTCCACGCAGCTCAGTAATACAAAGTGGTTCTCTCTTGCTAAAAATGGGTACTAGGACACATACTCAAGTAGGGCCCATTCTGATGGATTTTTAAGAGCACTTACTTCTCATTGATGTCAATAGGTCCTTGATTTTCATAGTCCTTTAGGTATATTCAGCTGTGCACTTGATTACATCTCGCTGTGTAGAGCACTAAACACCTGGACTTCAGCACAGATGTGTAGATTTTATCTTTATTCACCTTGATGTGGATTTCTGTCTTCTCAGAATAGATTAGCACTGGTACATCATAAACCTCACGGATGGCTAGATATGTATTGGTATTGTGACAAATACAGAGTGGCTTCTTTTACATGTACTCCTAAGCCAAACTTTAGTGTCATCAGAATAAGCTCATGCTCAAACACGGTCTCCCTCCTCTTCCAGCAGAAATGTGGGGAGCAATTTGAAAGTTTACCTGCAGTTTGTTGTGACATCTGACATCTGACCAGAGACAAAAAGCAGTTATTCCAAGCTGCGATTCAAAGGAGCAAGCCAACTAGCCATGGTTTATAAAACTGGCTTCTATTTACTGATGATTGTTAAGCTTAACCACAGTTTAAGGTTTAACACTAAACTGACTCATCCAAATTGGGAGAAGAAGCTCCTAATTATTTTCTCATCATTGCAGTGGAGGATGGAGTTTAACTCCTTCCACGAGGAAAACCTTTTTTTTTTTTTTTAATATTTGCTTGTCCAAAGCTTAAGAGAGGAAGAATTTTTGTCAGGGCATTGGTACAAACAAAAGATTAAATTAACCCTATTAAATTAATCTATATTGTGATTATGATAATTATTTGCTCCCACAGCTGATTTTTTTTCTTTTAAAAGCATTTCAGATAAGTGGTTCTCAACCTGGGGTCCCCAGATATTTTTGGCCTTCAACTCCCAGAAAAGGTTAAACCCTTGTGGTAGCAGGACTGAAGACTGACAGGTCGCAGGTTCGAATCCGGGGAGAGTGCAGATGAGCTCCCTCTGTCAGCTCCAGCTCCGCATTGTGGGGACATAAGAAAAGCCTCCCACAAGTATGATAAAACATCAAAACATCTGGGCATCCCCTGGGCAATGTCCTTGCAGATAGCCAATTCTCTCACACCAGAAGCAACTTGCAGTTTCTCAAGTCACTCCTGATACACACACACAAACCCCTCCCAAAAACCGACTGAGATTTCTGGAAGTTGTAGGCCAAAAACATCTGGGGACCCCATATTGAGAACTACTGTTCTAGATTGACTCCTAATTGATAACTTTATGCATCATATCTAGAACTATCCATAGGTAGGAGGGAGCATCTCTACCATATTCTACCCCCCCCCCCCACCAAAACATGAAATGACACCATTTAAGATTCCTATTTTACCATTTTTGCATGCCTTCTTAATTTTGTTTACTTTTTTACTCTGAAAAGCACTCAGATTGCATATGTAGTTAAAGCATTTTTAAAAACAATTTCTATCTAGCATATAGGGCAGTATACAAGCTGTCAGGTCAGTCTACAAGTAAAACCAATGTCAAAAAGTTAACACAGCTTAAAACAATGCAATAATTTAAATAGATTAAAACATATTAAACATAAAAAGTTAATTCAGGCTTAAAAGGTTGAAATGGTTCAAAATCATGTATGGAGTGCTTTCAAGTAAATTTCTGAAGCCGAAAGGCTTTAATAAGCCTCCAGATATTTAGTTGGCTCCTAAATGAAGTCAGTGTTGGTGCCAGTCAGGCTACTTCATCACACTTGAGAATGAATCCACTTAAAATCCGGTTTCTGCCTCCTGCAGAATTCTGGGGTTTGTAGTTTAGTGAGGCTGTTAAAGGCTCCTCCATAAACTACAAACCCCAGAATTCTGCAGGAGGCAGAAACCGGATTTTAAGTGGATTCATTCTCTAATGTGATGAAGAAGGAAGAGGGAAATTGGTCCAAAACTGAAGTGACAGAGAAAATTCCCTGCAATGTCTTCACACAATGTATTGACCTTAATGCTAGTATACAGAGAAGAACCCCACAGCTCCCCACAAATCACATCTGGCAGATGTCCAATATGGAGTATGCAGGCCATTGCAAGCTTTAAATGTCACCATGGGCACCTTGAGTTCAGACAAAAGTATCATATATAGACATTGATCTCATGTATAAGTCAAGGGCAGATTTGTCGGGAGCCAAAATTATGGATTTAGTTGAGGGTCATTCTGCATGCAGTGGAAGCTAGCATTGCCACCTCAGAGGACAGCTGCCCCAATCACTGACATTTTCCCTCCTATGCATTCAAAAAGGCTTTTCACCACTCTACTCAGAGAATGAATTGTTCATGTTGTATATGTATAAAAATAAAAGTACAGTATTAACTCTTTTTCAAAAAAGAAACCACCCCCTTCTCTGAGAGATTAGGAGGGAGTGCTTGTTCAAAGATCTCCCAAAAGAGACTTGAGGGCTCTTCCACACAGCCATATAACCCAGAATATCTGCTTTGAAGTGAGTTATCTGAGTTCACATTGCCATATATTCCAGTTCAAAGCAGATAATGTGGGGTTTTATTCAGCTGTGTGGAAGTGGCCTAAGTTCTTGTCTCTCATCACTCAAGAGAGAATCCAGTACTTACATTGAGCCATGGTTTTGGGGCTCCAATGTTTGACTAATTTTTCTGGACTTATACACGAAAATAGACAGTATACTCACAGTTCATGTCACTGTTTTAATTTTGGCATTATATGGTAACTACAGGCAATGATTTTATGGGCAGTCAAGGATCTTTTTTTCCTCTTTTTTTGCAAGAACTTAAATATAATCAGCATCAAAGGCTTTGCAAATCAGTTGGAAAATATTGTGCCACTTTCCTCTCTCATAACCAAGTGGCTTTGAAATTATTGCATGACTATCTTCATTTCCTCTTCCTTACCAAATTAGTAGTAAACGCTTTCATTCGATTCAATTTCAGAACCATTTTGTCCTGTCCTCCTTCAATTATACTTGTTTGAAATTACCCCAATTTCGACCATAATAGACAAATCCTAGGTATAAAAGCGAGTTTTAATTGTCTGCATCATGGTCGCATTGCACATTGAGGAGGAATTATAACCTTACTCTGAAAAGCCAAGTCCAGGCCATTTGAAGAGGGGCCTTTTTTCCTTTTCTCATGGCCCAGTCGCGCCCTTATTCTTGTCATCATGAACCACTGGACCTGGGAGCTGAGGGAAAGACAGGCAGTAAAAATTGAGGGTTCAACACCCAATCCTTCCAGTCTAGCTTCTTTCTCTGAGAGGATGCACCATAACATAGCTCATAAACTGTCATGCAGACCATTGTGTAAGATGTTCTCCAGACTACTTTCAATAAGTGAGGGATGGGAACCAGCTGAAGCAGGGTCAAGTTGGGGTGCACCCACATTGTAGAATTAATGCAGTTAGACTCCACTTTAACTGCCATGGCTCAATGCTGTGGTATCCTGAGAGTTGCAGTTTGATGAGGCACCAGCACTCTTTAGCAGGGGAGGCAAGGACTTTGTATAACATTATTTCATAGTATTGAACGATAGCAGTTAAACTGATGTCAAACTGCATTAATTCTATAATATAGATGCACCCTTGAATACCCTGAAGGTTTCAACAGTTCTTGTGGTGATCAATGAAAAGATAGTCTTGCTGAATCAAACGCAAGTTCATAAAAGCCACCAGCTGTGGCAAGCTTGATCCTTATCACTATCACCATACGTATACATAACAACTCCTGCAACAGAGCAAGTGAAATATACAGTCCACCACTATCTCTCTGTAGTCATACCCACAGTTTCCAGATTTCATTTTCCCTTTCCTGCCAGTGCAAAAAGGCCAGGGTGAATGTTTGCAAAAGGCCACCTTACAAAGGCAGGCAGGTCCTTGCTTATTTCATTCTCTTTGTTTTCAAAATAGCACACATCTAGTCAGCTGTAAGCCATGTAAACTGCCCCACATACTCAGATATGTTTATATACACAAATTTATTATTTACCATATAGTTGGAGAAAAATGAAGTTAGCATTTAGCAAGGTCCAAACCATGGCTCCCATCTCCATCACGCCCCCCTTATATCTTATTTCCCCTGCAAAGCTAGAGAGGAGGAACTGGGAACAAAAGTATTTTCAAGGAGGAATTGGATAATTCCTTTCAAGGAGGAATTGGATAAGATCCTTTGGGCAGCGAGAAGGAGGAGCAAAGGTCAGTTCTAGGAAAACATCAAAGAAATAGCTAAACCTAAGGAAGAGCTGTGTTTTTGCTCCCCCAACCAACCCCCCCCCCCCCCCCCCCCCCCCCCCCGTTCAAGTGACCATGGCAAAGTGTGAAAATAGAACAGGATTATCAAGCTAACATGATGGGTTCAGCTGTAACAATAAACCACAGTTTATTGTTCAAGCCAGTATGCTCAAATCATCGAGCCATAGCTTGATGATTTGCTAATCCAAAAAAGCCCCAGTTCAGACAAACTGATGCAAAGTAGGCCATGGCATGAAAAAAATACTTTCTGCTAGTGATTTGTAGTTTTTGTTTATTAAATATCATTTTCTTCACTCATAGGTTTTAACCAAATTAATTAAACTATAGAAAATATTATCTGTTTTTAAAATATCTTCTTACACATGAAACGTTTGCTCAAAGGGAGCTCTATGAACCATCACAGAGGTTAAGATCTTCTGGGAAGGCCCTGCTCTCGATCCCACCTTTGTCTCAAGTGCAGTTGTTGGGGGCAAGAGACAGGGGCTTCTCAATGGTGGCCTCTCAGCTCTGGAACTCTCTTCCAAGTGAGATTAGATCAGCACTCCCTCTCCTGGCATTCAGAAAGAAAACAAAGACATGAATATGGGACCAAGCCTTTGGCCAGTAAAGTAATGCAGTGCAAAGAATAATTAGGGAATGTGTGCAATGAAAATGGAACAGGTTATGGTTTACAATTTTGGATCATGTGATTTTAATATTTACACTAGGATGTTGTAATGCTTTGTCTTAATGTTTAAATGTTATTTATGTCCTATGTTTAATGGTTTTAATGATATTAATTCATAGTCTTAGTTATATGTTAGGCCTGGGTAACCGGAAAAATTTGTTTCTAAAATCGATTTGTATTTGGGGTTTTTTTTTTGTTTCGATATTTAAAATAATTACAAAATTTTCCTTTTAAAAAGTTCGATATTTACAAAATTTCGTAAATGGTAAAAAATTAACGAATCGATTTCCGAAACAATAACGAATCGATTCGTTAATGGCGGATGCGACCGCGAAATACGCTAAAAAACCTCCAAAACCTTCTGAAGCTTCCCTCTCCCTCTGTTGTTGACTGTTGGTGTGATATTATAATTTTTTTTCACTAATTAAACCATAAAACTGGCCCAGACATGCGGAAATAATAACGAAACGACCTCAAAACAATAACGAAACGAATACAATATCGAAATGCGAAGCATTTACAAAACGTTTTTGAAAATTCGGTTTTTTTTAATAATTGCTCCAGAATGGTTCGTTATCGTTTTGTAATTGAAAAAATTAACAAATTATTAACGAATTACGAATTAACGAAACGAAACCGCCCAGCCCTATTATATGTTACTGTTTAGTTGTGATTTTTTTCCACATGTATGTTGGCATTGAATTTTTGCCATTAAAATGTTGTAAACTGCCTTGAGAAAGGTGATATATAAATACAGTAAATAAATAATAAATAAATAAACATTAGATACAAATGCATGTTGTCACCATATCTGGGATTTCCACTTTCAGTAATTGTGAACAGTGTGTGTTTCTGTTTGTTAAATCCTACAGTGTGGGATATGAAGAGTGTTACATATGTGTCTTTTTTTGCAGATACATATATTGCGATGAAATTGACTTGGCTGCTGACACCGTCCTGGCAACTCTTTATGCTGCCAAGAAGTACATTGTTCCTCATCTGGCCCGAGCGTGCGTTAACTTCCTTGAGACGAGCCTTAGTGCAAAAAATGCTTGTGTGCTCCTCTCCCAGAGCTGCTTATTTGAGGAACCAGACCTGACAGAGCGGTGTTGGGAAGTGATTGATGCTCAGGCAGAGCTGGCTTTGAAATCCGAAGGGTTCTGTGACATTGATTTTCAAACACTTGAAAGCATTCTCCAGAGGGAGACCCTGAATGCCAAAGAGATTGTGGTTTTTGAAGCTGCTCTTAGTTGGGCCGAAGTAGAGTGCCAACGGCAAGAATTGCCTGCCAGCATAGAAAACAAGCGCAAAGTCCTTGGGAAGGCGCTCTATCTGATTCGCATCCCGACTATGGCTCTTGATGACTTTGCGAATGGTGCCGCTCAGTCAGGTATTCTGACGCTCAACGAAACCAACGACATCTTCCTGTGGTATACTGCTGCCAAGAAACCAGAGCTACAGTTTGTGAGCACTACCCGGAAGGGCCTGGTTCCCCAGCGTTGCCACCGCTTTCAGTCGTGTGCCTACCGCAGCAACCAGTGGCGCTATCGAGGTCGTTGTGACAGCATTCAGTTTGCAGTTGACAAGCGAGTTTTCATTGCTGGTTTTGGGCTCTACGGCTCTAGCTGCGGGTCGGCAGAATACAGTGCAAAGATCGAACTCAAAAGACAAGGTGTGATCCTGGGGCAGAACTTGAGCAAATATTTCTCAGATGGATCTAGCAACACTTTCCCAGTCTGGTTTGAGTATCCAGTGCAGATTGAGCCAGATACGTTTTACACAGCGAGTGTCATTCTGGATGGTAATGAACTCAGCTACTTTGGACAGGAAGGGATGACAGAAGTCCAGTGTGGCAAAGTAACTGTGCAATTTCAGTGCTCTTCAGACAGCACCAATGGCACGGGGGTTCAGGGAGGGCAGATTCCAGAACTCATCTTTTATGCCTGAAAGAAGATGGGCTTTTGAACAAGGAGCGTGTGATTCTATGGGGGGTGTGTCTGGTTCAGACCTATTTGATGCTTAGCTTGTCATCTGCAGGTATGTGTGATCCTAAATGCATTGAACAGTGTGATATACGCTGTGCTTTTATAGCATAAATGTAGTATTTTTTTTCTGAAAATTCCCATGATTTTTTAAAAAACTTAGCAAAGTAAAGTAGTTTCACAACCTTATCAGAGATGGGATGGCCATATTAGGAGGGGAAAAGCAAATCTAGATGCCTGCCTTCTGTGTCAAGGGCCACTCTTATTGCTCTTCAGTTTGTAACTTGTTAGCTCCCTCTGTTTTTTTATATTTATGTTTTTGTTTCCTCCATACGGAAGGCCTTTCAAGCTTAAAGGTAGTTTTTGCTTCACGCTGCTTGGGTAGCAGCAGTGTTACCTCTGGATTCAAGTTGGCTTGAAAGTCTTCCAGATGGACTTAGGGTCCTCCTGCACATGCTACTTAGATGTTGGGCAAGTCTGTTGAAAGATATCACCTACTCATTCCACACAATTGGACTGGGAGTTGAAGTGTCAAATAATGTGAAAGCTGAGGTTAACACTTCGCTGTCCTGTAAATAAGAGAATCTCAGAATTGATTATTTTTGTACATGGCAACAACGGAAAACCTTCCACTGCAGGGAACACAGTGATGTATACATAGTTTCTCTTTGCTCCAATACAATTCTCCAATACTATTTCCCCAACACACTTCGTAAAATCTGGGAATAGTGGCATCCATACTTTGTCTGCTTGCCCAGTATTGCACTAATTGGTGTTTGGGAAGGTTATTCTTGGAACACCAATTCCCAAAATCCCCCATCTTGCATGGCCAGTTATGGGAGGGATTCTGGAAGTTGTAGTCTCCAGAGAGTGACTCTCACAGGTTCTGCCACTAATGCATTGACGCGAGTGGTGTTTACAGCATTGCAGTGCCTCGGTAAACATTAGCTTCTTTCCTCTTACCCAGAGCTTTCCCCCATTTAATCAAATTTGGAAAGTGTTATACTGGCTGGCTTTAATGGGTCCAGTCCCTTTTCCATTAAGTCAGACAATCTGAAGCAAAGGCAAGTTAATTAATTCTCTGGGTTTTATTCTTCCCAATGGTAGTTTGGAAACTTCAGCATGAAATTTATTTTCCCATCAGAGTGTCTTTTTAAAAAAAAAAGAAAAAAAGAGACATGCTTGGAGAATTATATTGCTATAATTTGCTATGGAATGTATTAATTCCCTGGTGACATTTTGTTTCCCCTATAATTCAAACCTGAATATTAATGCTAAATTAAATTAACTAATTGAGCAATTAAAAGGGGAGAAGTAGGTAAGTTCAGCTTCTCCATTAACAGCGAAATACCTAGTCTATATATAGTTTAGTTGTGTTTATAAAGTTTATATTCACTCAGTTTTCTTTTTTTATTGGGATGGGGAGGGGTATATGCTCCAGATTTCTAGAATTTTTCCAATTATTGTATATCTGTGGGATATGACAGTAACATGGCTGGTATGGTTGCTGCTTGTAGGTTTCTTTTCAGCTGCTGGATACTGCTTTTTAGCCCAGCTGTAAATGTTTGCTTTGCTCTGGGTACCATTAACTACTGCACAGCCTAAATTTGCCTATTTATGAACTACAGTTTGTAGGTACGTTTTGGTTTTATTTGCGTGATTATAATGAAATGGGTATTTTAGCAGTCAGGAAAAAAATGAACATTTTTGGCTTACATTTTGTGATCGGTCAGATCTGAAATTCTTTTTTTCCATTGCCCACATTTTTAAAATTAGTTGTCAGGTTTCCTGTAGAACAGTCTGCATTCTTGGCAGGAAAGGGCTGCAGGCTGCCTAAGGGGGGGGGGGGGGGGGGGGGGAGAGAGAAGGAAAGAAAGAGGACATTTTGATTAAATAATATAGAACAATTTTATTTCAGAAAAATGGCACACTTCCATAAAGGTAGTTCATAACTCTTTCTGACATGAAGTTGCTTACAGTGATATTCCAAGGCTAATTTGTCCCAATTTTCCATCTGCAAAGGCTTTTTACAGTTTCCCTCCTTCTGCCACCACTTTGAGCTGAGAACAAAGTGGTTCCATAGTTAAGGAAGCATGAATTGTCGTGTTATATTGTTCATAGTTCTATGTAATTTAATTGTTGCATCGATTTTTTTTATTATGGGTTTCCCCCCACAAACAAACATAGAAAGAGAGTTTATATCTTTTAGTGTTTTTTTTAATACTAAATAGTTTTTTTTCCTGCTGCAATCTGGGCTGCTAGTAGGTCTTTAAGTGCCATTAAGTATCAGCAGTGTCCAAAATGTGGTTTGAAATTGCCACTTAAATTGGACATGAGAAACCTCAACATTGAAACCAGCCATTTGTCATTCACTGAGAATGGAAAGAAAAGCAAAGTGCATGCTATTCTTCAAGAGCAAATGTTATTCTTGCTTTTTCAACTATTTTAAATAATATGATACAGAACAATTTTATAACTTTTTCAGCAGTATAAATACTCCTGGAATGTATAGGATGGAGTGAGATTCAAGGTATTATGGTAGCCCAGCAATATCTGGAGATCTGTACAATCCTACTTCTGACATGGGAGTTAAATTTTCATATAGATATAAACAATCACTTAGCCTTGTAGCTAAAGCCAATGTGACTCAACTGTTGAGATTCAGATTAGCAAGACCTGAATTGAAGTCTTTGCTCAGTAGAACATTTTATTGGGTGGTCTCTCTCAGCCATGAATGATATCCTGAGTTGCTTGGAGCAAGGGCAGAACTGAAATGTAGTCAAATAATAATAATAATAATAATAATAATAATAATAATAATAATAATAATAATAATATACCCGTGTTCTATTTTGAAATGGTCATATGACTGGTCTATTATTATTATTATTATTATTATTATTATTATTATTAGTCAAGTAATCTCTGCTAAAAATCCTTAGGAGAAAAAAGGTCCTACAGAAGTTTTCCCCAAACTAGTTAATATTTTCAGAAAACTCAACTGGCTTATGAACAAGTAGGTTCTGTAGGTTTGTTCTTAAGCTGAATTTGTATGTAAGTCAGAACAGGGAGGCGTTAATACCCCTTGTGGTGTTTCTTTTACTAGCTGTGCACCTCTGTTCAGAAGATTTCACTTCATTTTCTATCCCTGTGACAAATGGATTTTGAAAATTTTGGGCTTACTATGGAAATGAGGATTGGTGCTAAAGCTTCAGTGGAAACATCTTATTCCCATGAAAACTCTTACAAGAGTGATTTTCCCTTCCTAGGGGTAGGTTTCCTCTCACTTCCTGTTGTCTCACTTCTGTTTGCAACTTGGAGTTGTATGTAAGTTCTATTTTTGTAACTTGCAGACTGCCTGTATAGAAGTCAGGTTCCAGATTTGGGACACAGGGCTGTTCTGATGCCCTGTACTCTCTCAGCCTCTAGATGGCATATGGACACTGCTCCTTTGGCTTATGCCCCACTGAAACCCAACGTATTGTTGACTTGATAGCTGTGAGGAGCACCTTATGTGTCCCTTAAACAGGAATGACTGCCATTTCCCCCCATGAGAACAGAAACTGAAAGTAGTCAGGAGCTCACATGGGAAGAGAAGTAGATTTGGCTTGGTTTGCATGGCTCAAGCTCTCTTTGTACAGAGATGAACTGCACCCTCTTTCTGTTCATATCCTCTTATTCATCATAATGACAAGGTTTTGCCAGTTCAAGCCTGGAAACAGAAGTGAAAGTCACAGAGCATGTTTACACTAAGCTCTGAACAAATATTTAGACTTTACATTGTGAGCGCTTCTTAGGTAGCAGTACATTAAATGCCTTTTTGTACTGTGCATTTCAGTACACCAACTCCTGTATAGCATAAGTGTAATGCAAGTGAAATGGAAATAGAATTAAGAGTTGGAAGAGACCACATGGACCATCCAGTTCAACTCAAGTCTGTCAGGCATACAAAATCAAAGTAGTCTTTACCGATGTCAATCCAAAGAAGGAGTCTCCACCACACTCAAGGTAGTATGTCCCACTGCTGAACAGAAGTTATTCCTAAAGTTTAGGCACAGTCACTTTTCCTGTAGTTTGAATGTGTTGAATTTGGCTTCAATTGGACAACAGATTTTCTTTTGGGAAAAAAAAAACAAGATGGTCTTGGGTGCCTCTCCACACAATCCTTTTTATGTCTACTCAGAAACAAATCTTTAAGTTTTATTATGAAACATATATGTACAGAGCATTGTGCAAAAGACTAAAAACAAACAAAAAGCAGTATTTAAGAATATAAAAATGGGTTGGGTTATTTTTGTTTGTTTGTTTTGCAAAAACAGGCTAGAATAAAACTGCATTGATAGTTCAGTAGATCTTCCTTGGGAGGCTCTTGAGAAGAATGTCTGTGGAAAACGAGTTGTGTAATCCAAACTGAAATCCCACAACAATAATTCCTAGATGCTGTGTGACTATTTATTGTCTCTTATTACACAAAGAATGAAGCAGGAAGTCTTCCATTTTCTGAGCGAACTTCAAAAAAATGAGGTTCTTTTGGAAGTGATCCCCTCTTATTTTAGTTACATACTGCCATCTGAAGTCACAACCTGACCACATAAATAGCAACTATTAAAGAGGATGTAGTTAGAACTTTTAGGTTTGCACTTGGACCAGGAGTGCATAATTTCATGGCAGATTTTGCCCCCAGGGGCCTAGTGAAAAGAAAGAGAAACTGGTTGGAAGTCTACCTCTGGTCCTGAAAAAATGTTATTTCTTTCTATAAAATCATGGTAAGAGGGGCTGATTTTTTAGCTCCTGGAAGCTTCTAGTCACAATCATTCACTTTTTGTTACAAGAACAAAAATTATCTTTGATTTAAATTGTGATTGTTGGGTGGACCCAAGAGCCATCAAAATAGTCTTGGTCATATAGTTGGAAGATTGAACTGGATGGTAATGGCAGTTTCTTTCAACTCTGTGATTCTTTGTGGAACTGTAGTCACATTTTGTTCACTCCAGACTTAGATGCCAGACAATTGCCACCATCCAGGAACAACCTGATAGGCTTTTGGGGCTCATTCACCCTCCCTGGATAGTGTAAACAAGTCTTGTGTCCTGTACCACTTCTGATTGAATTGAGAGAACCGTTCTGGCTCCAGGATATATTCCGGACATTTAATTGGGTGGTGTAGAGCACTTCAATTTGCATGCACAAAGTCTCATATTCACACCCTGGTGTCCTGAAGTAGGGTTAGAAAGACCCTCTTATAATGCTGAGGCAACAGGGATGTCAGGAGGGGAGAGGTTGACTACCCATGAAAGGCATGACAACAAGCCTCCTGACTGCTACTTCTCCTCCTCCCTCCCTCCCCCTGAGCAGAGCCATTCCATGTGGGACCTGGAAGCGGGGCGCCTTGGTGTCTTTGTTTTTAGTCTTGTTCCTGGGGTTATTTGGTGTTCTGATTCAGAAAATTGCATTGGATATACCACACCAGCTCTAGATTATTAAATATAGTTTTCTGTGGGCAAGCAGATGGCAACTACTGGATGTCATATGTTCTCTATCAGAAACTAACGCTGATGTGGTCTATCCAATGCAATTTTCTGAATCAGCACTCCAAATAACCAAACTGAATCTAAAGTTGACCAAAAACTGATTCGTAATCCTTTTGGTACTAACGTTGGAGAATGGTTCCTGGTTAAAGTGGTCTCTGGACAAGTGGTCACTGATCAAAAAACGGTTGGGAACCACTGAGCTAAAGGAAGCACCAGCCTCCTCTCTCTTTGCTCTTATGCCATTTCTGGCCTTTTTCGGTACCTGGACAGGGAAATGGTGGCAGCAGCAGTTCATTGATACTTCTCTTCAAAGGATTGGCACATCCCCTCTTATATTAAAATCCATAATCTTGCCCCAAAACTTGTCCTCCAAAGTAAATACAAGGTCAACTTATACATGAGTGTATACAATAAGAAGATGCTCCTTGCCCCACCACTACTAATGTAATGACATTTTTCTTCGAATAGCAATGAACCAGGCCTTTCATTCTGCCCATGTTTTCCATGATCCAAGATAGGTTGATCGCATTAAAATCTAAATGTGTTGCCTTAAATGGTTTCCAGACTGAGCATAAAGCTGCTAGCATCCAAGTGTCTGTTTGGGAAGTAACTCCATAGAATTAGATAATT